TGTCTTTTTAACAGATATATTTACCAAAATTACACAGAAATATCTTGAAATACTAAAATACAATTTTGTTTTCAATAAAATCGCCATTGGCTTCAACCATGGCCTCCAGACGACTTCGGAATCTCTTGCACCTCTTATGAACGATCTCCTTGTTTATGTTGGTGAATGCTGCCATAATCATTGTCTTTGGTTCATCTTTGGTATTACAAAGAGTTGTTTTGGTTTCTCATTCAAGTCCGCCCCCACATATAATAATCAAGGGGAGTGCAGTCTGGGGAATTAAATGTCCAGATGTAAGGGGTGATGTGATCGCAGAAATTGTCTGACAGCCATGACTGGGTTCTCCCCTACTTGTGTGGCATGGTACAGAATTCTGTTGCTAGTCATAGGGTCTTTAAGCAGCCACTGTCTTGACCCAGGCCAGCGCTATCTCCTTAAGGGATTTGATGTAGGCCTTCGCGTTGAGTCTCAGGACTTGTAGGAAAATGAATGGAGGCATAACATCACTAGTGATCATTCCAGATACCTTCGTAAACACCATTAGACGCATCCTCTGCACTCGTTTCAGATTAACACCCAAACGTTTTGAAATGTTCATATTAGAGATTCCGGCGAGAATGCGAAGTAGTAAAGCATGCCATTTCCAAATTTCTGGCGCAATCAATTGCGTCATGGTGCTCTTTTTCTCACAGACGGTGCCCAACAGCATAGTATAGTAGGGTCACTACTAAGTCGACAAAATTAAAAACAAACGACGCGCATGCGCAAAATTAAATTATAAAATAATAAGAAATAATGCCGGATAAAAAAATATATATATTTAAAAGATTAATGTTGTTTAAGTTTGGGGTACAAATCTGAAGCTAGCCGATGTAGATTCGTATAAAGCCCAACGAGGAAACGTGCTTTCCTTAAATAGTGACTAAAACATGGTCTTGTCATACTGCTCTCTGTGGTCGAGCTGTCAGACGCACAGCGTGTGTGTGTGTGTGTGTGTGTGTGTGTGTGTGTGTGTGTGTGTGTGTGTGTGTCTATAAAATAGGATGTAAAATCCCGACAAAGTTTTGAAGAAATATGACAAATGGAAAACCGTTTCATTGAAAGTAGGTTTGATTACGCGTTTCGCCTTTCTAGGCTTCAACAGATCCAAAAACGTCTTTTCTAAACGGTGAATAACGTCCGGGAAACCTGACTGCTGCAGAGTTTTATTGAAAATGCTAGACATTCTATTTCTATTTATCTATCGATATTTCTAAATGTTATTCGCAGTTTATAATAGGAGATAGATAAATTGAATAGACATAAAACAGCTATCATTTTTGATAAAACCTTTCTAAATTGTTACGTACTTATATTACAGATAGATAGAATTTATAAAGAAATAATGGATTTATTTTATTAATTCGACGTATTTTTGTAACTTTCAATGTTATTTTTAGTATTTGAGTAAACTCTTCGTTTATTTGTTCACTTCTACAAAGAGGGCACAAGTTCTCTATAAAAAGATTTCTCGTATAAGCAGTCCGATAGATACATATGTGATGCCACGTATTTTCATAAGTGTACGTTTTTATGCATTTATGCGTACGTATAAAGTCATATTCAACAAAGATGCAGAGATTTCTTTTGTATATATATATATATATATATATATATATATATATATATATATATATAAACCTAAAAGAGCCAGACAAACCTACCAAAGGTTTTACCTAAGCGGATCGCCACATTTCTCTGACGATCCGCTTAGGTGAAACCTTGGTAGGTTTGTTTGGCTCTTTAGGTTTAACTAGGTCTGCTCTACTTAACGTATTGAGCACTTTATTTATTTATTTTGCTTACTCGTATCGGGTTTTTTTTTTCTTTGAACTTGGATGCTAGACGATTATTTTCGGCTGACGTACATGTTCTTTGTTCTTTCTTTTTTTATACCTTTTTTCCCCCTTTGGTATTGATTTGATTATTTACAAATCAAGACACCGAAGGTTTTTCGGACGAGTATAATTTCTTATACTTATAAGACTGTTACAAGTATATATATATATATATATATATATATATATATATATATATATATATATATATATATATCCGTCTGTGGACAAGGAAGTATAAGAACGTAATCTGAAAATAAAACTTGATTACTATTGATCACGTTCGCCGTTTCTTTCATTTCAGATAACATCTCCATTTGTGCCTCTCTTCGTCTACACGATGTCTTTTTCAAGTGGATGCTGTTAAAATGAAGTTTATCTCGTCTTTATGATCTGTTTACAAGCTCACAACATTTCTACCCGTTCTTGGGTGTCGGGTATCGCAACAATAGAAAGATACTTATCACCGTCTCCGTTCCATCACGCTACTCATTTTTCTCCATGCTTCGTTCTCTCTCTCTCTCTCTCTCTCTCTCTCTCACGCACACGCACATACACGCAAATAGATAGATAGATAGATAGATAGATAGATAGATGTATTAATTAGTACAAAAACGTAGGCACTCTTATATGTAATAATTAATATTATTAAAAACTGTCCTAACGTTCTTTTAATCCGAACGCTTTCGGCTATACTATTTCTTATTTAACAGTTAAAATATTTCATCCTTGAAAATGGCTAAATGAATTAAAAAAACATTCGGAGATTTTTTTTTATATAATTTATCATCTGAAAGGAAAAAATATTAGATCACATGAGAAATTGTATAATAAACTAAATCAAAGCACCTTGTCTGTCGTATTCAATGAAATATGCATATATATATATATATATATATATATATATATATATATATATATATATATATATATATATATATCAGGTAAAAAAACAATAATTATATTGCTTGGCATGCAGTGATGAATTGAAGTTTGCTGTTAAATTTCCACTGTATATAGGACTTATTTGATTAACTCATTAATGGCAACCGGATAATATGCCATTAATAATCAAAATAAAAGAAGGAGAATATATGTTCTTTAGCTTGCTAAAGAATTGAGCTCTGTTTCACCAGAAAATAAGCATTCCAAGTCGACTGTTTCTAAAAAAAATCTTGTATATATAAAACCGAGTATTCGTGTGCTTAGAACGTTTGCGTTCCGACCATGAAACTCAGGTACGAATCTCACCATATCCAATTTGTCAAGGAGATGACTTGTTGATGTTATCGGTTTGCGGTAGCGGCACCGATGCAAAGTGCCCGAAAACCATCCGTCGGGTTGAGCGAAGCCTAGTGAGTGAAAGTGAGTAAACGAAACTGTTCGAAAGTCGCCGATGGTTGTGATGGCATGGAAGCAAAAGTCATCGTAGGCGAAGGTTTGAGTGTACTGGCCGTGTTCAATCTGTTGATCCCGCCAGATTATGCCCTCTTTCCCGGAAACTGTAGCTGTCCATAGTTGAAGATCTAAACCACAGGTTGTCTCTGCGGATGTAGAAAAAACACGACTCCAAGAGGTCAGGCTTATCGGGCTTAGCCCGAGTAAGTCAGCATTCAAGTATATCTATTTTAAAGACACTAACATTTTCTACAGTGCGTCGATTTCATTCTTGACTTCAGCTAAATCCAAGATTTATTGTTTTAACTCCGTATTTCAAAATATTATCTGAAATACAGTTTTTTGATAGTGTTCATAATAAAGAAAAAAGTAACAAGAAAGAAAGAAAAAAAAACAAAGAAAGAAAATAAGTAAAAAAGAATGAAATAAAATTAACGTTGCTGCATAGATCTGAGCCCTATCAAGCTAGAGGCATACTTAATAGGCAATGTATTTCTTGCCTTAATTTTACAAATAATCTTTGAAAAGACTCTAATGACTTGTAAGCCTTTTTTTCAAAGAACACATTTTTATTTCAACTTATTTTTTCAAATATCCATTTTGAATAATTTATTCCGTATAGTATAAGGTATTTTAGTGGAATGTATCAATTGAAATAGGGCAAATTAAATATGGCCCAACTTAAAGTCGGAAAAAATCAAAGAAATTTGCTGCCTTAACTCGTCGACCGGAGTGTAAAGGTGAGGAGTGTGACTTGGGTAGAGTTGAGGAAATATGATATCAGTCGTATATTCCTATCTCTATCACCAATGACTATCAGGCTATTCCTGTGTCTACCGTCAGTGCCTACCAGGCTATAAAACAATAAAAAATGGAAAGAGGGCAATAAACAGGCAAACATATCAAAGACCTTGTCCTCACACTTTTTTTTTAAATGTCGAATTTTTTAAAATAAAATTTTATTTTTTTAGAGTTATTACAATTAATACTAAAATAACAAAATATACTTTTTTTAATTTCGTGAACAGAGATTTTTAAAAATTGTATACTTTAGTTAGAATTAAGGAATCATTTTAGCATATAAGTCATGCCAATAGTATATTTTGTTAAAGATTATAAGTGTGTGTGTGTTTGCAAATAGATGATATACGAACCCACAGTTATATATATTGACGCTATCCAGTCTAAGCCACGTTATACCATCTGAATGATTGCAGCATGGGTGATGATTATTGGAGAATGATTTCCCTTAGTACTGATTTACATACCTTCTCCAAAACATATCGTGGCATGTCAGTGTCAAAAAGCCTTTGTCAAGAAGTCTGTTGATGGAATATATATATATATATATATATATATATATATATATATATATATATATATATATATATATATATAATCTGTGTAGACACAGGTATGAACACTAAATATCGACGGTATCTATCCTGCTTAAAATTAACTGTCAGTCCATACGTACGCTTCGTTTCTGATGATGGACACTTTTCTCCGATGAATATAGCATACTTATATATATATATATATATATATATATATATATATATATATATATATATATATATATATATATATATATATAAAAAGACAGAAATGCCGCAAAGGTTTTTTACTATAATGTTGATTATTTTAAATACTATATTATATATTTTACTACGCGTGGTTTCCGGTCTTGTGACATTCATCAAGCGAAGAATAGTTATTTGCATATATTATTCGTTTCTACGTTAAAACGTTCAACCATTGTCCTTTGTGGTTAATAGCAATCATTCAGACTGGCCGAAATATATATATATATATATATATATATATATATATATATATAAAAGAAATATGTTGTAGTGGTTCCAACGAGAAAAAAGTATGTATATTAAAAAGAAGAGAAGATAATTAATTCTCTGTTTGTGTGTTGGTAATCCGAATTTCTTTCGAGAATAGAAAGAATGTCTCATATCGAGAATATTTCACATTGAACATGAAGAAAAATTAATTATTTTTAATAATATGTAGAAATCTCCACTTTTACCTGAAGACGGTCATGAGACCAGAAACACGTGACGTAAAATTATGTAAAACAAAGCATAATATTTTTTCTAAATAAATCCACATTAGAACCAAAAAACGTTTGCGGAACCTCTCTTTCTTTTTAATTCTTTTATATATATATATATATATATATATATATATATATATATATATATATATATATATATATATATATATTTTGTATTATTAACAAGCTGTATTAGATTTCATTTAAATACTCATGGAGACCTACCGGACCCTATTAGAAACATATTTGTTGATAAGAAAATATAATAGCATCGTCTACATGTAAAAATAAGGTTAAAAATAATAGAAGCCGTATTAATAAAAACAAAAATGATAATAGCTTAAGGTATAGCCGAAATCGCTTGTAAAAATAAAACATTTGGACAGTTTTTTTATAATTAATCTACGGAAAAGAAAAAATTATAAGATCATACAAGAAATAAGGAAAATTAATAAAAGCACCTTGTCTGTCATATTTAATGAACCTAGCATAAAAGAAGGTGTGCTGCCTAAATACATAATATATATATATATATATATATATATATATATATATATATATATATATATATATATATATATATTATATATTTTTTTTATTATTATTATTATTATTATTATTATTACTTCAAACATTATTTTTCGTGGACATACGTATAGATGCTCCGATTATTTTAAACAGTATTTATTTCGTCTACCGGCGGGCGTACCCGAAAAAAACAAGTCCTCGGATACGCAGATCGGTACAAAATATATTCCGTTTGAAATAAATGGAGCATCTACATAAATACATATGTTCACTAAAAATAACCTTTGAGGTAATAAACATTTATCGGTTTAAAAACAAAATTCATTAATTCTTCAAACAAACAAATAAACACAAACACGTAAACAAACACACACATACACATACGCACACACTAATATATATATATATATATATATATATATATATATATATATATATATATATATAAAAAACAAAATGTGCTAATGTTTACTCTCTTATTCCGCTTCTGAAAGTAGCCAATGCAAAATTCGATATTTGAGGTAATATTCGTGACATCATAGATACTACAAGTCAGCAACCCATTTTTGCAAAACCCCAAACATCACTTATCATTCCAGTGACGTGTGGACATGTGAATTTAAATTCATTCTTCGCCATCTTTATAAGTCACGCAAAACAATATTCATTATGGCCTTATATAAAGAAAATCATCTGCGCACGCGCATGTGTGTGTGTATGTACGGACGTTTGTGTGCGTTTTTAATGACGGTTGATTAAAAATATTTCTCTTACTCGAATAATATACTTTCACACACAGCAATTAAAAAAAAATACTTCAGAATATCTGTATTATTTCAACGAATCCATTTGTCAGCAAAATGTAAACCACCTTTTATTTTTTTTATTTTTATTTATTTATTTTTTGATGTGGTGAGAGTGAATTCAGTTCCCATGCTGTCTCAGCATGTTGCTAAGATGTTATGACATTTCTTGCAACAGACATTGTCATCATCTCCGTGATTCAATGAAAAAAATGCCGCATTCTTTTTACACGTCCATTTTGTTCTTTCAAGCGATTTAAATTGCTAGATTGACAAAAAATTACTCCTGTGGTTTTATTTAAGAATGTCTTTGCTAAAAAGTGACGCGTGGGTCGACGTAGTCAGGTGTTGTCCTGACTGGAATAAATTTGACAAATGTGGTTTGTCACAATAGATGCAAACATGTAAAACATGCGTAATTATTCCGAAAGCTTCTTTCTCTACTCATTGCTCTTGCTAGCAAACAACGTTTAAGCATTCCATACCCCCATCCCAGATGAGTCTACTAATAGAAAGTAACGGTCCTGATTTCTCTCTCGTGGCAACTTTACAAATAATGAGGGAGGCTTTACTTATCACATAGATATTCATAGTTGGAATAAGAATGTTGAACAAAAAACAATATCCTCGTCCAGTATTCCAAGAAATAAAACTCAAGATAAACATTTCTAATACAGAAACTATGTTCTAGAATTGAAAGGAAAGATGTGATGGCACCAACCCTGAATTCATCATAATAATTCAGGATGTTTTTGTTTTTTTGTTTTTTTTAAGCATTTCACCCAAAGCAAGGCGGAAGTGCCACTAGCACACAAGGGATTACAAA